GTAGAGTGATAAAGAGTAATTTGAGACTTGGAGAGATATAATTTGAGAATTGATTATAAGAATAAAATTGTCCAAAAAAAAATATGTACACCCCTTTATTAATAATATAGATTAAAAGTAAAATTTCAAAAAATAAAAATAAAAAAGTGACCTTGTTCAATTTAATACATGTATTGGTTACGATAATAATAATAATAATAATAAAGAGTGAACTCAACTTAGATTTATGTATTTACAGATTAAGAGTGATTTTATTTAAAAGAAAGTTGTAATTATAAAAAAAATCTAAAAATGACACATATAGGTATTAACAAATAAAGGAGAGTTGTAATTATTAAAAAGGTATATATATATATATATATATATATATATATATATATTTCAATTCTCTTAAGATTCTTTAAACATGGTTTTTCCCCCTCAACAGTCATTTAATCTTAACACAGTAAAATTAATAACTTGTTTTTGTTAACGAATGTTTAAAATTGCTAGTTAAAGAATATTTAATATTCTTTATTATTAAATGATTAACGAAATCAATAAATAGTGAAACAAAATTCGACCTAACCGAATAACACAATCCACTATAAATTTTATCATATTCTATCATTACTATTTTTTTTCTTCTTTTTTATAATTTAATATTTGTCTAACAGTGTAAACACGTGCCTTTAATTATCACACAATTCACATTTTCATGCAAAAATCTTTCGTGGGAATTTGAAGTTATATATTTTTCAATATTTATTTATAAAATATAGTAAATATCTGTCATTACATTGAAATAATCACCTTATCTTCTATTTAATATTTTTTTAACACTTTTTTTTTCATTTTATTAATAACTTATTTGGATACAAACTTAGCAATATTTTTTTAAAGATTTTCTACTAATTTTTTTTTTTTAGTAAAGAAACTTTCATAAATGTTTTAATTTCTTTCTAAACATGTTCTAACTATATTAGTAACATTAAGAATGTTCAACACATTGCCTAGATTAAGCTCACACCGGGGATGTACGAACAACCCTTCTATTTTTTATTTTCTTACATCATAATTTATTTTAGGGAGAAGAACTATTTGCAAGTTGCAACTTTGCATGTAAAGGGTAGAAATGATAAGAAGCACGAAAAGGTGATATTGTCCACTTTTGCACAAATAATGTGATTTGGAATTAGTTTTAGAGTTTTAGGCAATAATGACCCACTCGTGAGTTCGGGTTCACAACCTTTCCAAAGAAAAATAATGCATTTTTATGATTAAGCTATCAAGTAAGCTTTTCAATTTTGGCCCAATAATTGGTGATACCGGTAAAGACAAACAAGCAAGCGGTCCATGCACGTGCATGCTTCATGCGTGTCTCACTTCGCTCAACTACTTATGGATTGTGAATTTGTGATTGTCCTATACCATAACATAGGATTCTTTTAAGCTAAAAAATTTTCTATTTCTTTTTAAGGTTTAATTTAATTTTATTATTTTAAAAAATAAATTTAATTATTTAATTTTAAAAAAAATATTTAATATCATTTTTTTTGTTTAAATTGATATTAATAATATTAATGAAATTAGATAAAAGGATAATATTTAATATTTTTAAAAAATTAGAAAATTATATTAAATATTTTAAAAATAGTGGAATCAAATTAGATATTTTAAATGATTCAATTTGATCATCTGATTTTTAAACAATTTTCAATGTCATTAATGTCAATTTGGATAAAAGAATAATATTGAAAATAAAATACTATATCAAAACAAAATTCCAAGAATATAATATCAGTTTAAAGCATTAATTAAAATAAATAGAGTCAGGTAAAATGAGAACAAAGTGCTCTATAATTATGTAACTAGATAAATAAAGAGGAAAAAATAAAACCATGAATCTTTGTAATATATATATATATATATATATGCGCATACGTTTGCTTATACATGCCTACTTCTAACTATATTTTACTATAACATTAATTATAAAAGAAATAACTTTCAATGTTGATCAAAAAACAAAAGAGCAATTCAAAATTATAATATTACCAAAAGAAAAAAAAATTTCAAAACCTAAATATCATAAAATTATAAAATACATTCATAATCCAAATCAAGTAAGCTCTAATAACAATTGTTATATAAAATTTATTATATAAAGGAATGTAAAAAAACAAGATTACATTTGCAATAAACAATTCATACATATTTTAATTCCTAATTGTAACATGTATAAAATAATAAATAATAAAGTTAGAAATACCTAGATAAGCAATCCATTAAGTTCTTGTGATGGATAAGAGAAAATGAAGAAGAAAAACTATTTCTATTCTATTGTCTTTTTATTTATTATTATTATTATTTTTTTACTTTGTGAAGTCTCAATGGAACAACTACATTGTAGAGTGATTAGAAATAGGGGTCTATCCATGTTAAATCAATATGGACTCACTTATCCATCAAAGTAAGCTTACATAAGGTCCTTCACATCAACACATTATCAATCACTACTTTATAGTAGTAGTAGTATTGATGATGATGATGATGATGATGATGATGATGATGATGATGATGATGATGATGATGATGATGATGATGATGATGATGATGATGATGATGATGATGATGATGATGATGATGATGATGATGATGATGATGATGATGATGATGATGATGATGATGATGATGATGATGATAATAATAATAATAATAATAATAATCCCAATAAAAATTAATATAATGATCACAAAATTGGAATTCACAAGAACAATGTTAATTTGAATTTTAGAGAAAAATAATAACATTAACTACAATTATCTAAATAATTTAACTGACTAATGTTAGTTTTTTCATGTCTTTAGGAAGTATGGAGAAATGGAGAGTATATGGTCCTCCTTTTTAAATAATACTACAAGTTTTTTCCATTTCTTCTCAACATGGTGAGTGATTTTTTCATACATAAGAAACGAAGAGAAAAGAAGAAGCTAGCAAACTCTTGGGAAAAAAATTAATAGCATCTACAAACACAAAGTTATTGAAATGTTGTGAACAAGTATCAAAAATCAAACAAACATTCTCCTAAGATGCATTGAGTTTTGTCAATGAATTTGTAACATTATTCATTTCCCTAAAGTTGTGTTGGAATACTAAAGACCATTCCCTAGTAGTGAAAGCCTTTATCATTTTCAATAAAGAAACATAGGGTGAGATGGAACTAAATCTTGAGTGATTAACAATAGAACTAATTTAGAAACTAATTCACATATTAGGTTGCGAATGCCTTTATCCCAAACAAGTTGGAGACCTTGGTGAATAACATAAAATTCAATATTCATCACTGTTGTATATCCCCACAAATCTTGCTATCCAATTAGATTAGGTAATCTTGATAACTCCACCAAAATTAGAAATTCTTGGGTTATCTTTGGAATTCCCATCAATATTAAGTTTGTAGTAATCTTGTGTTGGTGGCCTCCATTTCACTTACACTTTTTGTCGAATTTGAATTGATTTATGTAGCACTCCTTTGATAACATTGGAGAGGCCATAAATTTGATTGAGCATAACATAATTGGTCCAAACAATGTCTTGGAAAACTTCACTGTTCCTTGCCTTCCATATTGTCCAACACATAATAGTAAAATGAATACCATTTGATTTGTTATGTGATCTTTAATCCATTGTGAACTATCATGATATGTGTCGGTCTTTTCATCCTTCAATTGAAGCATGTTCATCATTATTTGAGCCTTGCAACAATCACGTAGGAAGTGTAGAATTGTCTTAATTAGTATGTGCTCCACATCCATAACAAGAAAAATCAAGAGAAAGGTGACGGTGAAAGAAAAATTCGGTATTTGGGATACTCTTATATATTAAGAGTTAGAGGAAATGTGTAAAATTTTCTGGTAATTAAAGAGACCATATCCAAGATCTATAAAAATTGCATTATCATGGGTTGAGCAAGTTCTTTTGAGCCATCAATATGCAAACTTGGCTAAATATTCCCCATTAGAAGACTCATCCCGGCCAAACAATCATATCTTGTACCTCTTCATTCAAAACAAGGCTGTAAATCTCTTGTTTAATTTGCAAAGGATCATAATTGCAACATGTTGTCACTACCAAATACCTTCATGATATATATCTTTTAAGGACAGTTATATATCTTATATGTTAACATAATTCACTCTATGGCATAGAAGACCCTGGGGTAACCATCTATTTATAACCATAAAGAAACATCTCACTTATCCCTACTCTAAACTTGAAACCCTCTTCCGATGCATATGTAGCCTTGATAATTGATGACCATGTATAGGAACTATTCGAATACTCCTTGTGCGAGAAAATGAAATCATCTTTCATGTACTTTGCCTTAAAGCATTGAACCCATAACTTTTGAGGTTCATGGATCACAAACCAAACATGTTTTCCTAACATGACTACATTAGCATCCCTTGAACTACGAATTTTGGAGCCTCCTCTATTCTTTGGTTGAGTAATCCTCTCTGATTAAAAGTCATAAGTTTTCTATAGAAGGAATGAAATTCAACACCAATTTGGCCAAAATGACTCTACCCACCCTACTCAGAAGTTAGGATTTCCAGCCAGCTAATTGATTATGGTTACGTTCCAACAAAAAAACAAAATCTGATTTCTTCACTCTTCCATCCATAAAGGGAACTGCAAATAATTACTAATTTTTTAGGTATGATTGTAACCAATTATGCTCTTAAACTTTGCAACATTTTGATGAGAGATATTCTTTTAGCACATAAATCTAGACTTTTGTATATTGACCTTTAATCCTGAGGCGAGACAGAAGGAAGCTAAAATTTTTTCCACCATGGTGAGAGGTTGCATACAGATCTCGAAAATCGACAAATTATCCATGTTGTGGAATAAAGATTGTTGTACGATGTTAGTTTATGTCATTCTTAATGTAGCCACTTTTAATAGAAGTACTTGGTCTGATTCAGAAGTGGTGTTTAAGGCTTTCAATCCAGTGATTAAAAAAGTTTCTAGTCTTGTTTATAAATTTCATTCACCAAAAGAATATATACATAGGAACATATACATTCAAAAATGGTTTGAGAAATCAACACCACCATATTTTGGAATCCTGCATTTTAAGTATTTAAAACAATGAAATGTTGTCTAAGGGGAATTTGATCTAGTTGCAAATCTAATCGATTCTGAGCCAAGTTCTCTAAGTGGTTTCTCTGTAAATCTAATCAAGTTGTAGACTGAGGCACCCACTATTGCACCAACAAATGGTCCAACCATGTAAATCCAAAATCCAGTGTATATGTGCATCACTAAAGCAGGTCCAAGGCTTCTTGCTGGATTCATAGATGCCCCTGACACAGGTCTGCATGCATGTTATTAACAAACTTAGGTTAAAATTATGTATAAACTTTCAACAAATAAAATCTTATGGCCCAAATAAAATCTCACATTCAGCACATATGTATACTTTATATATATAAACTTTAATACTGAATTACCCAGCAATGAAGACGTCTACAATGATTGTCATACCAACAGCTATTCCTGCGAATTTTCCAATCTGTTTAAGAAATACGAATTTGAATTATTCTCGCATACTTAGAGTATCTACATATCATGATATTTTCACAAATGGAATATTTTTGTAAGTAACACGTGAAAAAATAATTGAATAAACACAAGTGTATATTGAGGTTCACTGCATATAATTATTCACCATTTAGCATTTTCTTTTACTGATGCTTATCCCTTAAGCATGTTATTTTACTAGTTTCTCAGACTATAACAACGACACTTTAGTAATAAAAGGAAAAAAAAAATATATTTTTAGTTTCTTAAATTTAGGATAAATTTACTTTTAGTTCTTTAAATTTAAAATTGATTTTCTAGTGCATGTAATTTAAAAAAAAATTATTTTAATATCTCATGTTACTAATAATATAATTATTGTACTAGATTGAATAACATTAACTGGATTTAATATGATGTTTTCATTATTAATAACACTAGTATATAAATTTTATACGATAATATGTGATAGATTCATTAATGACTTTTGAACAAAAGAGCTAAAATAAGTTTTTCTTTTTATAATTACAATATTAAAAAATTAATTTTAAATTTAAAGGATTAAAAATAAATTTATCTCATATTTGAGGAGTAAAAATATATTTAAGAAAAAAAATAAAAACTTAAGCATTTTTATTTAAATGAGATTTTTTTGAAAGTGGCATTAGTTAAAAGAATAAGGAAGAGAAAATGAAAAGTGATAAGGTGATATGATTCGAATGAAGTATAAGATGAGTGCCAAAATGAAATTAAGGGAATTGCAACAAAAGCATAATTTTATACTAACCGCTCTATTGTCAGTGGCAACTGCAGAGACAACAAACATCAAGAGAAAGGATGTGAGTATCTCAAAAACAAGAGATTGAGAATGAGGTCCTGCAGGTCTTGTTCCAAAATAAGATTTATCATCTATATGAAAGAGAAGGTACAATGTACCACTAGCAAGGAAAGATCCTAGTACTTGAGCAATAAAATATAGAGGCACCTGCAACAATTATACATGGATACAACATCAGATTAAACTAAATGCAACCTAGCAGTGAAAATCATATGTAGCATTCATAATGTACATTTATTGTATATATACCACCACCCTTCAATCACTAATTATTATTATGCGGTTTGTTAACTTTGATAATAATTATCCTTAAAAAATGATTTAAAAATTAGATGAGAGAAGAAAAATGTAATTAATGAATAACGTACGAGTTTCAAAGGGAAATGGCGATATAAAGCAAAGCTGAGAGTGACTGCTGGGTTGAAATGAGCACCAGAGACATGACCAACTGAGTAAACCATGATCATTACTATCAAACCCCACACCACGCAAACTCCAGGAAACGTTATTGTCCCTTTAGTCTCTTCTGCATTATTCAGAACCACAGAGCAACACCCTGCAAATACCACGAAATATGTACCTATAACCTCTGCTATTACCTGTTACACAACACAACACAACACATTCATTTCATTCTTTGCTTCTTCTACTCATCACAATTGCAACATCATATTTATCTGCATGTTTTCAATGAATCTGAAACCTATGTTGTGTACCTTTTGTATCACTTGAACTACCTCATTAGAACCAAGAAAGTTAGAATTCCTCTCCGACTTTATTCCACCTTCTTCCAATTTTGAGTCACTCATGTCTAAATTATACTAAACCTTTTGTTTCTATTTCTTTTTCTTTGATTCCTTTTGTTTGTAGTTTCTGCATGTAATCATCAAAACATACTTATTAATAGAAACCAATGTGGATATTGGTGGTTTAGCTATCTTCAACACTAACAAATGGGTCCAAAATAATCGCTTTCTATCATGCTTTTAATAGAAATAACTATCTACCACAACTTCACCTTCATTCTTTCGAATTCCCAAGGTGGAAATTCCTACAAGTTATGAAACTAGATATGGAAGATTCTTTCTGGTGTACATCATAATAGTTAAAAGTTAGAATAATCACATAAAGTGGTGGTTCCTCCTACTGTTCGAGTTATTTTATGATATTTGTCTGGAATATTTTATAAGAGTTATTTTTATAAGGTTATTATAACAAGCATCTCTATAACAAGCATCTCCACACTGATGAGATATTGTCTGTTTTGGAACTTAAATATCACTATTGGGAGTTATTTTTATGGTATTTGTCTGAAGGGGTATTTTATGTGAGTTATTTTTATAAGATTATTACACAAGCATATTTCACAATGATGAGATGTTGTCCGCTTTGGGCCTTAATCCTCACGATTTTAATTTTGGTCATCATCTAAAAGGTCTCTCAATCATTGAAATATATTTGTATTATATAAATTTTTATTTCTTATCTTATTTTATCGATGTGGGACTTGTTTGTATCCTAATAATTTATATGACTATAGCTTACAAGTTATTATACTTGAAATATTATGCGAAAGACTTCCGATTAAACTAAAAAATTTACACGTGAAAGTGGAGTGAGTAGCGGTTATATAATCTGAATTCTTTACTAATTTAAAATTCATAAAAATTAAATTATCATTGGGGGAATATCTAAGTTTATCATAAAGAAGCTTGTAGCTCAGAAAAAACCAAATATGACGCCATGCTACGTACATCAACTTAAGCAAGATATAAAAGCTCCAAATGTGCTTTGGCCCGTCAAAATATAAACAAGCATAAGAATATGCTATTTATTTGTTTTCATTATAGAACAAGTTCTAAGGGAAGGGACGTTAGCACGTGCAAAATGGATCCCATCTACGCCCAAAGTCAAGATCTAAATTCAAAGCTATGTGCAACACCATTCATTGAAGAACCAATCTAGTGGGCAGTGGCACAATGCTCGTGTGTAAATAACTTTTAGCAAAAACCGGTGCCCCTTTTATTTATTAATAAAAGTTAAACGAATCACGCACCATTCTTTCAAATAGTTAACCTTGGATGGCGAAGTGAAAAACATAATTTAACACGAGAGCAACTGATTAATTGTAAAATTCATCAATAATTACACATTAAATCTTTGAAAGAAAAAGGGTTCATTTAGACTGAACAAAAATCCCATGCACCCTTGATGTAAAAAGTGCAAACATCATGAGTGAGCATGAAACCGAGACTCAAACCAAACTCGAAAAACTCGATAAAAAATATTATTTTTGAGTGAGTTCGGGTAGGTCTTATGGGTAAAACGGGTTGAAATTTTGATTTTATATAAATTATATTGGAGGGTTTGGTTTTGAATTTTTAAACTCACTAAAAATCGAATTCGACTGAAAATGAAATAAAGTTTAAATTTTTATTACTTTTGCTTAATTAAATAACAATAGCCCAAACTCAAAAGTCTTTATTTCAAATATTTGTAACTTATTTTTTTTCCTTTTTCTCATAACTTAGAGGCTTCTTTTGTTTTCTTTTTCCTCATTCAACTTCTCAACATAGTGGTTGATTTTTAGAGTTTTCTTTTTGTTTCTTTCTTTGTCTTTCTTTTCCATCTCCCTGCCTCCATTTTGAGTACAACTTGTGTGACTGTGGTTTCTTATGGGTTTTGTTGTCTAACTTTAGATTTATTTTGCATGTAACAACTATGAATTTTGTTATCTTTAGTTTTTGTTTCTCTAGTTTGTGAATGTTTTATCTACGAATCTACCTATACCATCTATTGTCACCTTCATTATATTTTTGTACACCGTTTTGAAAATGTTTTTTTTACTATTTTAAGCTTCACCTTTGTTAAGATAACTTGGTCTACAAAAAATCTCAAACCCGATTGTACCCACCAGCTCAAATTTAAATCCGTTTCAACTCAAACCGCCTCAAATTGAAAACTGAATTGGTCAAATATGGGCCATATTTTTCCAAAATTAATTTATAATGAATTGAACATTTTTCACCCGATTGAACCCGCCGTTGGCCACCCCTAAGTAAAAGCAAAGGTCAAAAGTATAGCCCAATGTCACAACTGCAATATTTAACGTAGAGAAGTCCATAATGCTGATTACATGAGTCCAAAAGATTATAAAATTCTACTTAGAAAAAAATAGAAGGTAAAACCTGCTTCCTTCCAAATACCCTTGCAACTCCATTTAATAACTGGGATCCAACTCAGCAAATAGACATAATTAGCCCACCACGTATACCCAAAAAAAATAAACATTTAATCCGTAACTTTAACATCTTACAACAAGGTATTTTGCAGGCCCGTTTAAAGGGGATTTGAGAACCTGAACCTTTTAATTTATGAATTTGAACGGCTTGTGGCCTGTTAAAGATTTATTTATTTTTAATATTTAATTTTCATAATTATTATTAAAAATTTACTCAAATTATTCAAATATCCAAATAAGGTCTAAAATAATAAATAATTTATTTAAAAATCCTAAAAATGGATAAATGGGCTGACGGATTGCTAATGTGGATCAGACTCAAGCTGTTTCATTTTATAGCCTTTTGTTTGGCCCAGGACGTATTTAGCCTTTTTTAAACACAGACCATTCTTGGGCCAATAAAAAAACACAGGCCAACCCATTCCATTTCGTTCATTATTAACCCTTTTCAGGTTGGTTTAGATCAACTTAACTTGTTGCCCATCTTCACTCACACTGCAGTTTTGGTTTTGAAATACAAGCGTAATTCCAGTTTCTCATTATTTTTTAGAGATTACAACAATTTTTTATTTTTTTATTTTTTTTTTATTTTTACGGGAAATAGTCTTTTGTTCAAGGTGATGGCATGAAGCTCTTCTCTGAACATAATATGTAGTTATATATTTAAACTTAAAACTTAAAATTAATAATGCTTTTATTTTTTTTTCAAATATATTCTCAATCTTTATATTAGTTTTGAGTTGTTTTATGTTTTTTTTCTTCTTATCAAAGTAGAGTATTTTAAAATTATCAAAATGAATAAATTTTAAAAAAAATATGAAAATGGATAAATCTTGTACGCGAAACACCACTTTAGAAGTACAAGTTGTGTTTAAAGATTCAAATATTTTTTAATCAGAAGTCATGTTAAAAAACATGATTTCATTTTTCTAGATAATTGATATGTTTGTTTAAACATTTTTTTTAATATGTGAAAGTGTTTCTTGTTAATAAAATAAATATTTTTTAATTTTTTTAAGAAGCAACTCTTATTTATTTTTTAAAGAATTATTTGTTTTAAAGACACTTATTTTTAGGTTTAAACAAACAGACTCGATGTTATATTTGGTAACACAAATGGATAAATATTGATGTATTTTTTAACAAGAGAGAAATTAGTATAGTAGAAAATTTTGATTTTTAGAAATAAAAACTTAAAACTTTCCTTTATATATATTCCTTTGTATTTAATTTTAAATTTTTTCCCACCTCTTGTTTTCTTTCCATTCTACAAAATAAACCTCAGAGCTAAACCCCTCGTCCCCCCAAAAAAAAAAAAGACAAAGAAGAGGGTGAATATAGAATTATCAAATTGGTGAATGGGCAAGGTTTATTATTGACACAATCCTTTAATCTTTTATGATCACTTTCATTGTCCTTGTCCCGCCACCCTTCTTAATGGTCCCAAGAAGCACTAGTCCACACCACCCCATGCGGTTCATGTCCGTGGTTCACCCTACACACACCATCACCTCTCTCTCTCACCTTTCATTGCCTTTTGTTTCCATTCATTTACTCTCTTCTCAAACACCCCTTGCCCCTTCCTTCTTTTTGGTCCCAAAATGTGTACAACTAGTAAAATATTATTCAACATCCTACTCTACTATCCACAAAACGATGATACTAAAAAAATATACACATTTATCTCTTCACCTGAATAAATTCCATGCTCAAAAAACTGTTAGCTGGTTAGACAGATTTAATGCTGAAAAGCATTTTTTGAGTATTTCGTATCACGGATCCGAATGCTTGCTGTACTACAATCTGGAATCTGGGCCCTCAATGTGTATGCTTCAAGATCAGGCCACGCACACGAGTGTAGCACCATATGTTTTTCCAACTACACGCCATCACTTTTCTTGCTAACTACTTGTACCATACAATTGTTGTCATTCCAACCAATTATCTCTTTCACACCCTCCTTTGTTACAAACATTAGAATGACTATGTATATGGCGCATGGCATACCATAATAAAAATTCATATATAGAACTGAGACTAATGTCTCCAGATACTGACTTATTTATCCCAACAGATGTTCTATATCGTGCACACATACAATCTTATAAATCGAATATTTGATCATATACTTAAAAAAAAAAAAACAACTATGAGCATATATAGCTACCATTATCTATATACTATTAATTATAAGCAGTGTATTCGTGAGTAGAAGAGTGACAGTGTTATCATCTTTACTGATTCAAACTGTCACAAATGGATAGGAATAAAACATGAGCACAGTCCCTCTGACCAGTAGTACCTTATGAGTGGTTGATAATGATGTGAATTTAAGTCTGTTGAATTCCTTTTCTATTCAAAAGGAAGAAAACAAAAGCAGAGATGAGTAATCAACCTGCTGAGTTTGTTCAACTACATTCTAGCTAGCCCCTACACCTTATAGTTGGATATATATTGAAACCCTTGCATCTCATTTTAATTGATTTCTCTTTCTGTTACCTTGAATGCACTAACACACACCACTCATCAATGTTTGGCTTTGGCTACAAATATCACTGTTGGAAAAACCTTGCGTCCACATGAACCCACATGAGCATGGACCGCAAGGTATCGCTTTT